CGGCTCTTCAAAGGGCTTGGGCTTGTCACTTCCTGCTTGATTTTGGAGATCTCTTCTTCCACTCTCTCCTCTATCGCCTTGACGCGATGTTCCAACTTGCCTAACCCTTCCTCCACTTCTTGTACCCGTTCGACAGCCTTTTGCAGTCCCTTCGTGAAATCCTTATGCATGTCTTCCAATCGACGCGCTTGCTCCTCTTGGCGGCGAGCTTGATCCTTTTTCAGCTCCCGTAGCTGCTCCGCCTGACAGCGTGCATGCTCCTCTTGGCGACGAGCTTGATCTTCTTTCAGCTCCCGTAGCTGTTCTTCTTGGCGGCGCGCTTTCTCTACCATCATTTGCTGCAGCTGTAGCAGTAGATCCACCTGCACAGGCTTGGCTTCTGCATCGCTGGTTTGAGCTGCAGCACTCTCTTCCCTCACACGCTGCGCTTCTGCCATTGCACGGGTACTCACTCCTCTTACGTCCTGCGGCACTAGCGGCATTTTTCTCCAATCCCACTTCTGACACCAAATGTTACGTGCCTGACGTCACGTTCCTGACTATGCGGGCTTGAGTTCGGGATTGGATGAAATGAAACACTAATACCGGTTTTCAGACTTTCTATTGCACTTAAGTTACAGCGTCCACGGAGTTAAGTTATCGGCGTTCCTCTCCAACAGAGTCCGGCCGACTGACACAACTTGCCGTTCACGCTGACTTTATCCACTTAACTGACTGCACTTCACTATTTCACTCACTTCACTATTTCACTCACTTTTCTTCTTTTTCACTTCTTCCTTTTCTTCCGAATCGCTTTAGACTTAGAACTCAACTGCCAGCGGTGAACCGCAGTTCTGCTTATATACCCCCGGTCAGGTTCTGGAACATTCAATTTCGTTATTCTTTTTGATCGTCATGCCTCCAGAACCTTCCAATAATTTCGCTATTCATTTTTATTTATTCTCCTTCTCACTCTTTAATTTTTCATCTCTTTCACACAAATAATTCCAGAAAGTTCGACAAAACTTCCATCAACTAAAAAACTTCATGTTTACGGCGGGACTCGAACTCGGGGTCTCTGTGGTGTAATCCACACGCCTTACCAATTACACCAACTCGTATTGACAATTCACGACGAAATTTACAATCTCTAGGCAACGTTTGACAACCATCCATTGACGTCATGATGTCAAAGAGTTTTCTGTCACATTACTAAGGCAATAAGAGTAAAACTCTGTGTGCGTAGACGCATACCATAATGATGATATTAGATTCAAAGTATTAGGAGACTTATGAATTCGAACCTATAATAAACCAAACACCAAAGTTAAATGTAGGTAGGTATATAGCTTGTTCAACTATGTACCAATACCTAACAGCATACTTATGTCGATCCACGCTTAAACAGATATATTGCAAAGTATGTTCTTAGCATATTATAATAAGGAATATATTTTATTGCATCGCATACACATATATTACATGTTAGAACTGAAAGAGAATGTTTTAGACGTAGATATTTTGAATATTATCGATTGTTTAGCGGATTTTCTTGGATATTAAGGTTACATAGGATCAATAGCAGTCAAACGTCAATTTTCACCCATTATTATTTTTATCATGTAAATTATATTGGTAAATTATATTATATTATGGTCAAATTCAACTTGTTGATCTGTGGTCGTTAAAAGGCCGTAGTAACTGCAGTTGCGCTAATAGACCTTTATTTTGCTTAGTTTAGTATGAAATATATCTCCATAGCTTTAACACAGTCGTGGAAAATCATTTTACATATATAAATTACTTTAGCTGAGAAAACACACGTTTATTATTTTACTTGATCTTTGAATATTTAATACTACAAAATTTATCTACAGTATCTTTTTAATGTATATATTATAGGTAACAGCCAACTGACTGTTTAGTTGTGCCATTATTTTTGGGAAACACGTGTATATTGATTTAAACAGCTGATCAAATTGCTGATCTGTTTTACTGACATGTGTGTTCCAACCTTAAAACTAGTACTATTAAGAGTGAAAATTGTGTGAACGATAACAGTTCTCAATATTTTCCTTTACCCTATATAACCTGGTATACTCAAGAAGCGTCTCCATACACATACGGTTGCCAAATCAAGTGCCAACAAGCATTTTATTATATAAAAAATATTTTTAAGCATCATTTATTATTTGTTAGAGAATTTAGATTAAGTATATTTACACGATAACAAAATCTATTACAAATCTTTAATATTTTAATTTAAGGATTCCTATTTAATAAATAAGTTTATACTTACTGTTATTACAGATGTCTAACTAATGTTATACATTATATATTATTATTATGACTACTATATTCTAATTCAAAACTAAGATAATTATGCCAATATAGAGAATGTTTTCTGTACTTAACTTATTTAGAACACAATGATATTATGTTCATTTTAAAAAATAAAACTTGTATTACTAGTTAGTCTCCTTCTAATTTGTTCAACGGCTAAGTGGACTGATAATTATGTAAAAATGATTCGCTTTTTATCCATTTACCTGTACAAATGAAAGGCATGTAGAAGATGCTCTGCATTCTATGTATGAAACTGAAACTAACTTATTACTTTGTAAAAATTGTATTGTGTGATGATTATACAGTATAAGGGCGTAGGTAGTATAGAATGTAACAGAAACATAACTTTACGATTGATGTAGAAGTACCAACCCTGTTCCAATGTGCCACATGACCCCATGAACATAAGGAATTGAACCGCACATAGTAGTAGAACGTCATTTAATACCCTCGCATGATCATAGTGTTAGATTGTTGCCATGACATTAAAGTGCCTAGTTAATAACAGTATAACTTACATAAGAAACAACAAATTGTTTAAAAATGCTCTCAAAGATAGATTTGGCTTTCACATTGGAAATTAACGATTTCAAGTTTATGTTTACGTATAATGCAATAAAAATAGCTATTGCCAGCGAAGCCCCTTGGATAAGGATGGTGACACATATACCGTAAGTCCAGGTTACTTAAATTTGATTTATTTTGGGCTCTCTTATCCAGCATTGAGGTGGGTTTCTGTAAACGTTGTGGGGATCCCTCGGTGACAGGGTTTATTGTATCACCAACTGGCCTCTTTTCTCTGGCACAGCTCTGATCATTATCATCATCAGCCGCAAGACGTCCACTGCTGGACAAAGTCCTCCCCCTTAGCTCTCCACGTCGAACGACCACCTGCATCCATTGGCTCCCCGCGACTCTGACGATGTCGTCGGTCCACCTAGCGAGAGGCCTGCCCACACTACGTTTTCACGTTTATACTGAAAATTGTAACGTATATTTTTGTAAACGGGCAAACTAGCTGCACTGAGCATAATGAAAACTGGTTAATCGGTAATTGTAGACTTAAAAGTATGATTTGTCTACATAAAGACTTGCGGGCTAGGGCTGGTGATATGAGAACAACTGATTTGCACATTAATAATTGTAGGTATCTGATCGTTTACTGAGTAACGCCACTTTGAGAGCCTTTTATCATGCAAACATTTCGTTTTAGTGTCGAATTTGCAGACTTTCTGTGTTATACTCATGTGAATGTATGCATGCATACAAAGATATATTGTAAACTAAACGTGTGTGTGTATAGCGCCATCTTGATTTGCTAATAGAAATGTAAATGATTATGACAATATGATCTTACCGACTAAAAACCAATATTGGTTGGTATAACAACTATATTTCCCATAGAAGAAGCTATAGGGTCATGATCATTAAAATATTACGGCCTTTTAAATTGAATTGGTCGTAGACCTATGGTCGGTTCGTCGATTGAATGTGTATTTTTGTAAATTTATAGAGAGAGTTCTAATTGCTTTTAATTTAAACTCATTTCTTATGTAAAAGACATCGTCCGGTCACTACAATTTGCGTTTTTAGTAATACAAAATACACATTTCATCGATATGTAGTTGTTTAACTCATGTGCGAAAATAATTCATTCAGTAATTTTATAAAAACGATAGCAATAATACTATAATAGCAGCTAACAGTACTAAGATGTAATAAACGACATTTTTATAAAAATACAAACATAAAAAAATATTTTTTAATATTAGAATTACGTATTTTAAATAAACAAAAAGCTATTTAAAGAATTTATGTTCTGAAATAAAACAGCTTACGATTTAGTCTGCAAAGCCATTTGGTATACATGGAAGAAAATAAAAATTGATTTCATTGCCATTGTTACAGATTATTACATGGTTTTAGCTTTGACCGCTCTAGTCTGCTGTAGGCGACTAACCAAGTGTACGTAACTACATATATCATTAACAAAATATTTTTCGTTTGTCGTTTATAGCTTATCATATCGCTCAAAAGGCTAACTGAATCCAAATATTTTGCAGCCATTGGTCAGCTTGCAAAACAATGGTTAGTGTGTTTATTATATACTGAATCAATATTTATTTTCGTACCTAAATACCAAATGACAATGAATTGTAACTCAATCAAATGAAGGCTTTGAAACGTGAATACTCAGATTATGAAGTTGGAATGTCAGTTTATTTTATATACACCCAGACAATGAAAAGACAGACGCTGTTTTACTTAATATATTTGTAAGAATGGTTATGTACGTTAATAAAACTAGGGCAGAATTAACACCACAAATTTTGTATGGTGCCATAATATTATTATTATTATTGAGTAAAAAGTTGCATTCTATATGAGTTTGTTAGGTACGTGACTGTGCAAGTCATGTCTGTATTAATTTTTACTGGTGTAGTGTGCCTTTGAGTCTATCAGTACAAAGATTTATGAGTGAGAATAGATTTTTTAGTAATTATTTGCTTCATAGAATGAACTCTCTCATTTCTTCGTACTTATGGACTCGTCCGCCCACTGTTCGTAGTTAATGGATTTTTAATAAACGATTTAATAAACTAACAGGGAGTTTTATTGAAACAAAGTTTTGTTTATAATGTTTTATTAATCACATAAGAAAATAATGCTTTTCTGTTCCCCTTTTCATGATTTGTTTGAACGAAAAGTTTTCTTAAAAAGTACATAATACTTACCCACATTTATATGCTAGCTTAAGCTTTTGTTTATACAGGCAAAACTACAGACAATAAAAGTTGGGAGCTGTTATACTTTCAAGCCAGTCTTCATTACATTGGACAGCTTTGTTCCGTTCCCATAGTAAATAACCTAAACTTAAACTTAAGGCATCCAATATAATTGGATCCTGTATCACATCTACGAGCTAAAATAGGTACTTAAAATTACAAAACAATCAGTCTATATTCTAGAGTAAACCAAATTAATCTACTTCAAGTTTTCGGAAATTTCCTGTAAGACCTCTCATGGCGTCTCCGACCGCATCGGCGCCTGCGCACGTATTCGCGCCAGACTTCAACGCGGAAATAGCGCCCTCTCGCGCCGCTTCACTGTACATCTCAAGACGGACCGCCATTTTGTCGTTCAGAAGAAGAATGTCACGTTTGCTGGCGAGCTCTACCTTCCATAGATCTGGCAAAAAATAATAATTGTAAGTTAAGAAGTCTAAAGTATCTACGTACTTTTCTACTAAGGATAGAATTAAAAAACAGGTATGTTGCTAGAATAAAAACTTTTGCTTTGATTTTTTTAGGCATAAATTTTAGCTAAATTTAGCCTTTTGATTTCAAAAATTTTAATGTTTTAAGGTTTACGTTGTCTGCTAATGACTACCTAATCATTACATGAAGGGGCTCTCTCTGACTACGACCACGAAACCGCAAGTTTAAACAAAAAAAAGAACAAAACTGCTTTACTAAATATCCCGAGGGAACTCACCAATCATTTCCTTCATCGGCATGGTGCCGCCGTACTCCTTGGGCAGTAGACTCTTGTCAATTTCGACATCTTCCACAGCACTGTACAATTTGACTCTCTTTTTAATCTTCTCCGAGATCAGGCCCATACCGAAGTCTAGTGCGAACTTAACAGTTGGGTGCACGTTGACTCCGTAAATCTCTTTGTGTCTCATCGGGAGTGTACGCTGTGAAATGTAAATGATATTATAATTTTCGTTGCAAGCTGTTTTACAAATTTAAAATAATATTTTAGTCCTTCGAGCACGCTTATACAATGTCAATACCCTATTGGTTAATTTAAAATAAGCCAATCTGTGTGCCAACGAAGGTATCACCTTCAAACGGAGTAAACTCGCATTGGATACTCAGTTCGCTTGAATTTTGTGTCATACTATTAAAATTACAATAAGTAACTTTCCCTGAAGATTAACCAGATGTTTTATGCAATAGAGCCTCTTGAACGGTAATTGAAAAATAAGTAACTAACAATTTCAAATAACAATGATATAATGATTTTGATTTTTGACATTCAGATACTTACCTACGTAAAAGTATCTATAAATAACATTTCTTAACGTAAGTCTTATTTGACGCCTACCAACTAATTATCTTCCAAGTAAATACCTCTCCATTCTTGACAATCCTGACAGCTTCTTTAGGAGTGAACAAGGTGAGATGAGGGAAACTGACACCACTGCCGTCGGCGTAGTGCACTACTCCGCGGACCTGGTTCTCTTCATCTTCCAAGAGCGTCTCGTAACAGATGCCCATTACTCTGCACATATCCTGGTTGGTGTACTTGTAAGGGTCGAACACACCTGCACAAAGTTACATCTGTTAGAAACTATAAAGAGGTCAAATAAAGTTGTGGTGCTTCCTCATTAGGGGTTACGTGTGTTACCTTACAGATTCGAGCAAAACGACAAGACCATTAAGGACTTATTGAAAACTAGCCTTCTCTCCCCTTCCCTTCCCCCACTCCCTCCTGCTTCGTACAGTTTTCAAACTATCTCGATGACAACGAAAGTGTCGTCTTACCCGATTTCCAATTTATATACGTAGGTACAATTTTCTTCCAAAAAAAGAATTGGCATAATTGGTCCAGCTTTTTCTGAGTTATGCGCTTACCAACACATTTTGCGATTCTTTTCTATATAACATCCGTGCGCTTCATTTCATCTTGGTTCATTATCTAATGCAGATTGAAACTTTCAATGTCACGTGACTTACTCTTGGAGGGTGCCCCCTCCCCTCGCATCTGGATGTAGGTACCTATAGTTATACTGAACTTATGGAATGATTCTACGATTGAAAATGGATGTGCAAATACTTAGAATGAAGTGTTTATAAATGCTGAACTAGTTGTTTTATAATGTTATGTTTTGTTATATAAAGCAATAATAGTTCTAATTGTGTTCTTTCTTTTTCTATTTCGAGTAAGTTCTTGAGTATCAACCTCAGTGGTATGATGATGTTCCACAATTCCTAATCATCAATCCTATGCAGATCACATTCTTCATAGGTAGGGACTTTGTTTACAATTATGATAACTACCATAGTTAGTTACCATTATTGCAATGAATATAATTATTGCATTATTGCAGTATCTGTTATGAATATGCCTAATGACTGTAGTGTTTAAGTTTTTCTTGTTATATTTGAATCCTAATTATATTGTAGATACTTAATTTATGTCATAGAATACACTTAAGTATTTATACTGATAAAAATGTTTGATATATGTAGGTACCTACCTAACTATGTATGTGCACTTACCTATTAATAATATGTTACGAGTATGTTAATATATATGAAGCATGGTAGGTAAATCGAATTTATTATAAAGCAGATTCACAAACAAAGAAAAGCAGAATTAATCATTTATCGCCGCAACCAACATAATAAATATTTTTATATACATGAATGTAATACTATATATAATATGCTTATGAGATAAAATAATATATAAAATGAATACTACTTGAAATTCGTTGATGATTTATCATAAGTTTGTATATCTACCGGGCCTGTATATGACAACGCGACGACCCAGCTTGTCCTTGAACGGACTCACGAAAATGTATCTGAAAAAGAAAATTATTGAGGTTAACATATAGGTACTTTAATTGTGGATAGAAATGTAGCACCAATGTTCTACATAAAGAACCCGTATATGTTCCTTGTGATCGAATAAATTTAATACATAGGTTATACAATTATGTAACAATTTCAGATTTCGAATTCTTTTCCAGAGATTCGAAAGAAAAGCTAGTTATTACTGTGTCAAAAAAACAAAAAAATGTGCCAATAAAGTACATCATCTAATCTCATGCATGATTATAATTTACTTAAAAATCCAATTGCATTTGAGGTCACATATCTAATTATATTTAAAAAACGCCTAAGAAATGGGGCAACTTAGTCACGCTCAAAAGATCTCCTTTACCTCTGGTATGGAATTGTAACTATATGTCAATCATAGGTTCACAAAGCCTAATGAAATGTATGTCTGGCTAAAGAACTGGACAATCACTGGTTACTGCATTCATCGTAACCCAGTTACAACCCTATGATACCGCTTTAACTCCTGTAAGCCAGGTACTACAGTAGATACAACCATGAAAACAGCGAAACACTGGAGTCCCAGGAACATAAATAATTGTCTAAGATCCCGCAACGAAATTAATCGGAAGATATTATTTGAGGAGAAGAAAAAACGAAATAGTACCTTCGTTAATTTCCCTCGGTAAATTTTATGCAGAAGAATGATTGAAGCCTTTAAGGGACAAAATACACACAACTGGGAGAAGCTCAGTCATCAAACACAACGGACTTGTTTTACCTAATAGGTATGGCAAAAACGCCTAAACATATGGATATTTGTTCTACATTCCACAATCATAACCTATATAGCTTCTAGAAAACCTTTTACAGCATCGAGCTATACTTATAAATACATGGTTTCCTCACCCCAGGTCAATTAGTTCCATCATGACTGGCAGCTTGTAGTCCAGCTGGTTGAAAGCAATGCCCCAAGACTGACGCAGCAAGATGTAGCGCTCGATAGCCTCCTGCGCCATGGGAACGCTGAACTTCTTCGCTCGGAGAAACCGTAAAAGGTAATTGGCATCTAAAAATAACGTACATAAAGTTGTAAGTCGTTTGAATCAGGCAAAGCTTTATGCAAAAAAAGGCCTTAGTAGTGGGTTTACAAAAAAGTTTGATAAGATACGCTCGTTAACTTTACCTAGCTAATTATGAAGACCAAAAAAACTTAATAAAATATTATTTATTAAAATATATTACTTAACAAATGTTTTTTTACTTTAGAAAAACCGTTTTAAATCTCAATAATAATTTAGTCACTTAATATTCAAGTTGTCCAACAAATCTAAATTAATACGTCATAGTTCGCTGAACCACCGTACCTATATAATTTATTTTGATGTTCTAGAAATATTTTCTGATAAGTATTCTTCACATTTTGATTACCTACACTAATTACAATTATAAGATTTTAATTTTAAGATTTTTCAGACAAATCGACTGTGCAAAAATAATGGCTCGGTTCAAAAAGTGACATTAGTTTACACGAGCCAATTTAACACTTAACTACACACTCAGCATATGCGTGTCTCATTTTGATTTAGATCTATTATAATAGAAGTAACATATTTATATGTTGTCCGACTTATGTTTAAGAAAGCCATCCTTTGATACGAATGGGCCAGCTCGACCGGAGTGATATTACGGCCTCACAGAAAATCTGGCGTTAAATAAGGCATATTTTGTATTTAGCTATTTGAGTTAGATAATCGGAGACCCGATTTCCCTTTCCATCCCCAATCTCTACAGACAGACAACGGAGTCAATTGCTTAAAAATGCAATCTCGTGTTCCATTTGTTAGTTTATTTTATTTTATTTTATTCATTAGTCAGCTTACCCATCCTAATAGCCATAAACTTAGGGTTCTGCTCCATCCAGCTCCTCAGTGCCGCCAACGCCTGTGACCTGGAGTTCTCAGTCTCCCGAAGTTCATCCTCAGCTACTTTCTGTGTGTCTGCGGATAGAGGGCACTGGTACTCATCAGCTTCAGTCAGGAAACGTTTTTCGGTTCTTCTGGACATGTTGTTAGACCTGGAAAGAAAGAGAGATCTTGTTAAAGTTTTGGTTCTCTGAGAGATAAGATTATATGCAGCAGCTATCTCTTACAGGTTCTTAATTTTAAGGCAGAAAAGAATTTTAAACATAAAAATGATGCAATTCTTATATCATCATGGTCATTTGCATCATCTACATCCATCCACGAAGTCATTTTAAGGAAAAATAAGTAAATGTAAATAAATTGCATTGTTTCTTCGAATGCAGTTATTTATAGGGAAAACTGCATTGTTAAAAAGGTTAAGTCTAACAAAGGTTACTTATAAACAAGTCAAGATTACTTGGAAGACATTTGATGTGACCTTTTTGATAATATTGAAGTACAATCAGATTGTAGCATATTAATCGTTAGGTCTTAATTGTTTCCTCATGGAAAGTCACCGAGACTGTAATTACTACAAACTATGTTTCAATGTATATGTATGTTTGTAAATGCACCCACGACACAGGAGAAAATCCCAGTGTGGGGCAAATTTAAAAAAAAAAAAAATAATAATAAAAAAAAATGAAAATTATCAATGCAAGAAGTCGGCTGGAAAAATTAAGCAAATGGTGCAATAGTCTCCGAGGGATAGACATTTGTTCAGATCAGGTACGCTTAAGCTGTTGTGGTCTTGCCTCATAATACTACTACAGAATGAACTTCTTCTGTTCTCAAACATTATAATATTCCCAGATACATAATTTTAAAAGAACGAAACCTGTTGATCTATTTTTGAATTAGTAAGATAGTATCCTAGATACTGACCCCATGTAAAAGTGCTGATGCTAGCCTATTTATTTAAGCCAACATTTTTTTTATATGTTCCCTCTATTCCATTAACATAGGTACATAATAACGATAATCATATATGTTAAAGAATCATCAACCTGCATTAAAACCTCATGACTTGATATATGGTACTAAATTTGATTTCTCTATAAATTGTTCGTCTGAAGTCAAATAATTATCCTTTTGTAGTTCACAACAAATAGGGTCAAAGTCTCTTTGTTATAACACTTCTTTGTTACACACGTTCGGACTGGTAAAAAATTAATATGTATTAGTGAAAGGGTTTCAGGAAATAACTGAGATGAATTTATACACAGTTATAGGCACCTCTCTGCGCTTATTTCACCATCACGACAGCCTATAATGGCGGACACGTCGCACGCCGCTGCGCCATCTGAATAGGCTTGAATCAGCCCACTATAATTTGTAAGTCTTGTGAAATATTAAAGTATTACAACCCACGATTGGTGTTACGCGTACAATCTTGTAAGAGTTTGGTTCGAAAAGTATGTTTTTCTATGATTTATAATATTCATATTTTCATTATTATACTTAAAGTAAATAATAAAGTTTATGTATTATGAATGGATGTTTTATTTATTTTGTTAGTACGGACACAGCGTTTCTTTTTTTTTTTTTTTTTTTTCTTTCTTGAATGGCAACCGAGTCTCCAATTTAATGTTGTCGACTATACTGCCAGTGTCAAGTAATGACGGCAGATTTATGGGCCCGTCGAACTTTAACTTTGTGGTAGTCTGTTGTTAGTAGCTGAAAGGACAACACATGGGTTAGTAAAACTATATCTACTTATTTTATACTTTTCTACTTTACATTATATAATAAAGATAAATAAGAGGACATACACAACTGACATATACGTATATACCATAATTATAATATTACACACCATCACAGTTTAATATCATTATCATTAATAAATTTTGATAGACATTTAATTAATTTATAAGAAAAGTGAGTTAAGAGGGAGTGGAAATTGATTGGAAGGGGGATTTCTAAATTTGGGAGTTTTTTGTAGAGGTCAAAGGATTGGGAGTTTAAGGGGCAAGAAAAGAATATATGGTCCAAGGTACCCTCATCAAGACCACATTCGCACAGCGAACTGTCACGAACATGGATCTTTTTGAGGAATACTGGACTGCTACAATGGCCAAGTCTGAGCCTGCACAAGGTCGTAATAGTGTGTCGGGGGAGTTTGGTATATTTGCAAAACCAAGGCTTCCGCTGGACGTCGGGCTGGATATTAGCGTAATGGACACCTTTCCGTTTGGAAGAGTCCACCCACACAGCAGCCCAAGATTTAAAAAGCTTGTGTTTTGTGTCCGCTCGTATATCATACCCGTACACAACGTTATGTTGGTGTTCCACATTATTCGAGGCCGCAAACTTTGCCAACGTATCCGCACATTCATTACCACTTATGCCAGAGTGCCCAGGAATCCAAGCGATTTCTATTTTTAAGCCATCCTCGTGACACGCAAGAAGTAGAGCTTTAATTTCTATGATTAAACTACTATAGGTTCTGGAGTGAAGCTGGTCTTGGCCAAGAGCTTGAAGACTGCTTCTAGAATCTGAGAAGATGACTGAATTTTTCAAGTTGTGAGCTCTGATAAACTTTATGGACTCCAGAATAGCAGCACATTCCCCAGTAAATACAGAAGCCTCAGAGGGATATTTGGCTAACAAAGCAATCCTTGAGTTCTGATAATATGCTGCTACTCCTGTGCATCCCTCAGGAGTCAGTTTAGAAGCATCTGTGTAGAACAAATTCCAGTCACTCCAGAAATTGCTCAACGCGCGTTTGAATTTCTTGTTGGCGTTCGCTGATGATTTTGCAATGCCTAGTTCCAAGACAATGCTTGGCCTGAAGTGGATAATCTCATATGCAGAAGAAAAGACCGGGAGTACAGGATATTGGCTGATGGGTGCAGAGAGGTTTTTAAGTTCTCTGTACCTAACAATCACAGGAGGGACAGACTTATTGTTCCAGTAAGGGGAGGAATTATAGGAGCAGTGGATCTGGTCCAAGATCGGAAGTAGGGGATGCGATGAAAGGGAAAGGGCTTTCGAAACGAAACGGTCTGCTAGGTATTGTCTCCGAAGGTCGAGGGGGGGCTCTGCACATTCGACCTGTAGGGCATTTATAGGGGATGACTTCATAGCTCCAATAATTATTCTAAGGCATTTGGCCTGAATGGAATCAAGTTTTTTAAAAGCTTCCTTATTGCAAGGTGCCATAAGGAAGCAGCAATAATCCATTACGCTTCTGACCAATGCATTATAGATGAGCTTCAATGTAAAGGGGTTGGCACCCCACCATACTCCAGCCAGTGCTCTGAGTACAGCTATTGACCGTTCACACCTTGTGACGACGGCGTCTACGTGATCCAACCCCGACATCCTAGAGTCTAGAATCACGCCTAGGAATCTAGCCTTGTTGCTTATCGGGATTACCTGACCGTCTATTTCTATACGGACATCTGGAATGCGACGGCTACGCGTAAAAATTACAGCCGAGCTTTTTGGGGCACTTAAACATAACCCATGATTAACCAGCCATTGGTTTAATGAGGATAAAGAGACATTCATGGAGCGAGCGGCGTCTGTTATAGAGGTATTGGTGACCATTAACGCGATATCGTCAGCGTATTGTAGGATATTGCAGTCATAGTTTAAACAGGAGGGAAGGTCATGGGTATAAATATTGAAGAGGATGGGACTAAGGACTGACCCCTGGGGTAACCCTCTCCAGGCAGTTCTCTGTAGAGGGCTATCTTCAGGAGTTCTTAATTGGAGGGTACGATTGGAGAGGATATGGCCTATAATCTGGCAAATCCTACTCGGGATTCTCAGCTTTTGCAATTTTTGCCTGAGAAGGGGTAGGAGAACCGAGTCATAAGCCGCTGAAATATCCAAGAAGGCCGCAACCAATGACTCACTCCTGCTAAGGGCCAGTCGGATGGCCGATGTGAGGGTGCCCACACTATCGGCCGTTCCCAAGCCCTTTCTAAAGCCAAATTGAGTCACCGGCAGCAGTCTCTGGCCCTCCACCAACCATTCTAATCGGTTTTTTATAAGGTGTTCTAGGATTTTAATAAGGATGGACGATAGCGCAATAGGCCGGTAAGACGAATGATCACCAGAATCTTTACCAGCTTTTAACAGCGGTATAACAACCTGAACCTTCCAGGAAGGGGGAATATAGCCAAAAATAAAACAAAAATTGACCAAGTCAAGGTAGTACTGTTTAGTTTTGATTCCTGATTTTGAGAGGAAGGAGTAAGGGAATCCATCATACAGCGTTTCTTACTTTAATTTTATTTATCCTGACTTAAGAACGGCTTTGACATTACCCTGCCCTTTAGTAGTTTTTTTTCACAAAATTTAACAATAAATGCTAACCTCATCTAACTTAGTAATTCTAGCCTGGGTTGTGGGTGTAAGCGTGACATGTACCTAGGTACTGCGGCCAAGGCAGAAGAAACAGAACGGATTGATTTTTATTCATAATTAAAAATTCCCTCTCGCTCACCCAGTAAATAAATTTGATGATTTTCCCCTCACAACAAGTTGGTACAGATAATACAATTTAGGAACACTTTTCAACATTAAAAATACTATACTTATGTAACAAAGCCATCTTAAAACACTTGAAGTAACTGCTAGACTGCTGTAACCACGGTCTCATGTAGGTAAACATGACGAATGTCCTTCGTGAAGGTTTCCGTTGTTTCCCAACGCTTGCAAAACGTTACTTGCTTTACCCGTCGTGTTCGCAAACTATCGGCTGAGTGACAGACAATCGAGTAATCGTTTTGTCTCCCATACACTCAGCGAGTTAAGCAACTACTTTGGACTAAGGATTAAGTAACGGATATTGGTACCGTATCGGTTTTAATGTTGTAATCCAATCGTGAAAATGCTCTCATTTTATGTTTAAGTGCGTGATATTTGATGCTGAATAGTTATTTAATATCTATTATTAAACACTATGGAACAGTGAATTTATATTTGCAACTATGTCGTCAACAGCATTTTTACACGTTAAGATTGTATGTAAAAAAATAGATAAAGCCGGCCTCTCTTTCCTGACTACTCGGAGATGAAATGCTGAGACAGACTCACACAGACAGAGATTCGTCTCAAAGATGTTTAGCATATTCTTCAGAATAATGTTTAGCATATTCTTCAGAAAACTTAATCGGCGGCGCCGAATGCTTACCATCAGGTATTGCATATGCTTGTTTGCCGATTTAACACATATAAAAATAAGACCACCGCCATTACGACAGCAAGCTTTTACATTTTATTAAAGGTTCTTAAATTTAAAATTTTCAGACTGAGAGGCTCATTATAAATAATTAAAAAAGAGAAATGGCTCCCTTTTCTTCACGTGTAGGTACATCCAATCACCAAAATGGAGGTCAAGACCGAGCCTGCAATACTTATTGGCGGTAAACCAGTTTTATGAGCAACTGTCGAAAATTTATAAGTACTTGCACACGTCTGTGTAGGTAGAGAACGTATGTAGTTAGTTGCAATTCGGTAGTTACTAACTAGTCAAATTCAAGACGTTAATTGATATGTTAAAAACGATACTAGATACTTTAAACTTTAATACGTATTTTTTTTTCTATCCTGCGATCTGCCTGGCAGTCTATAATCGGGCGAGTTACAAGAGGTTTGGCGAAGTAGAGCCCACTGCTCCAACTGCCCTTAGTTTTTTTTTTATTGATTATAGGTTCGCGCTTGACCGCTATCTCACCTGATGGAGCGCGCGCTTACCTAGAAGTAACCTATTCACTCTTGACTTAAAGATACCCAGATTGTAACTATCAGGAAACACCGACTCCTGCAAGGAATTCCACTCCTTGGCTGTACGCATAATAAATATGCTCCCAAAACGTTTTGTACGTATATATTAGTTATTAGTTTGCATATCGGCTCTCTTGAGTCTTATGATCGGGTTTGGCTGTAAAAGCAAACTGGATAACG